CTGCCTCAGATCCTCCCCTCATCCTGTGGCACTTGCTTTAATTAATGAATTAATTAATTAATTTATGTTTCCTGGGATTTGGAACATAAGGAGTATTTCCTGTAGCCCAGTGCAGACTCTGCCTCTTAGTTCATCTGTGGCCACAGTACTGAAATAGCTGAAGAAAACTGACCATTTACAGCTCAGTCCTGACAGCACCAACCCCCCCTTCCCACTGGAGTCTGGGGCAGGTGGTGGTGGGCAAAAAGAGCTTCCTTCACGTGCCTGGATGAGAAGGAAGATGCCTTGGGTCATGTTGGTGGATGTTGTGGCTGGAGGAGCTGATGGCTGGCTGATGGATGGCTTTGGGGCACAGAAGACAGAAAAAGATAAAACAGAAAGATAGACAGATAGACAGACAGATAGACAGATAGATAGACAGACAGATAGATAGATAGATAGAATGAAAGAAGTTGCCCAAAGCAAGGGCCAAGCTCCAAGAGCTGACTATTTCCTATAGCTGCATCCATTTACCTGTCCATAAAACATCATCTGATGTCTGTGCCAGGATGAAGATGCAGAGGAACAAACCAAACACCTCACTTTTGCCTAGAACACGAGTTCACGAACTTCTGTTATCATTCAGGCCTGCTCTAATTGAAACATCATGTCTTACACAATCATCTCCTTCTCTGTCCCCTTCTTTCACTCTTTTAGAAACCATTTCCTGCTTTTCCCAGCTGGACACGCTATCCCTCTTCCTGCTTTGAAGCAAATGTTTTGTTGGGTTTGGCTGCTGTCACAGCCACACATCGTCTTCTGCCTGATGTTTTATCCATCTGCTGCTAAGGAGAATATTTTTTAGCTGAAAGTCTCAAAAGGGTTCTGAGGGGCTGAGTCGAATCAGGGAAGTACCAGTGCAAGACAAAAAAAAAAATCTCCTCTCTGAGCTTTCCCATGCACAGTCATTCAGGCTGAAACACCATAAAAATTAAATGCTGGGAGATGTTTGTCACAACATCCTGGTACTCCAGGGGCTGTGCTGGGTCCCATCTGAGGAGCTGATACACCCTGCTCACCCCTCCACTCGTGGGGATGGGATCCAACTCTGATTTCCTCTCAAGTGAATGGAAAAAGAGAGTTGGATTCCTGTGCTGTGGAGGTTGCCAGCATCTGCCTTGCCTCATTTCTTCTGCTTGAAGAACATCTGGCACTGCTCTGGGACAGCCACGCATGGCTAGTGGAGCTGTGTGCACTGTGATGAAGCCTCTTGAAGCCTGGCTGGAGATACTCATTGCCATCCTGGCAGGGGACACTCCATATTCATGGTGCCTTTCCTTCCAGAACACACACAAATAACTTTCTCTTTGATGCTGGTCCTGACTCCTGGGTTGCTCTGAAAAAAAAGGGATGTTTTTTTTTTGTCCAGCCAAGCTCCAAGATCCGGAGGTGCCTGCCCAGAGGAGTCACGAGTGGCCGTGGCACTGCTGCTGGGAAGGGGGTACAGGAGGGGCTGTGAGGAGCTGCCCAGGGCAGGGGGATGTTTCCTGCACCCCACAAGGTGTCTGCAGGCAGGACACCATCTCACAGCCCTGCTCTGGGCTGGACACCAGCCCTTTGCTTGGCATCTCTCAGCTTTGCTCTCCCCCCACCCTGCAGAAGTTTGTCTCACAGGAGCTGTGTCACCCCTTCTTGTGAAGTTCCTTGGAATTCTCAGAAATGCCACTTTTTGCTGGCTTTGCTTACTTGCACTCAAGGGGAGTTGCTTAATTAGCTTTTGAACTAGACAATGCCCATCTCTGTCACAGCTCTGACTGTGTGGACTGTCCCTCAAATGCCCCTTAGCTCCCCAAATCTTGGGGTGACAAGCCTGTCCCCAGGCTCCTAAACCTTGAGCACACACGTGCCTTGCTCCCCTGGTCCCCAGCACTCAA